CAAGACTTTGTAATATACATATTTCTATTTTTAAGTCTGAATATCAGTTGACACAAACAATATGTCTTCTTTCCCAGACCATGGTTCTTTCAGAAACTTGTAATATTTTCTTCTGCCTGCACTCTTTTCTCACAGGGGTTCATCTCACTTTAAATCATGTCAATGTGAGAAGAACAAATTAATCTTAGAGTCTATTATTGATCCCAACATGACAGAAAGCCAGATTTCTAGACAGGGGGTATTTTGGGCAGCTGCCTCTAATGGATCAACTACACCCTACCAGAGCAAGAATAGAATAAGGTACAGTTTTGTCACAAAGTAGCATCCTCTTTAAAACTCCTCCATCACTTTCTACTACCACTTTATTTCCTTTCATGCTTTCTTCAATGTTCCAGCTGTTTCTGACAATGAGGAGCTAGTGTGAGGCTTTGCTATTTCAATTGAAGCAGAAAAGCCTTGATTGGGGTCTTTAAAAGTCACTACTGTTACTTTTATTGTTGTTTTTTTATTACAAAGGCATATGTATTATTCCCCAAAATTTAGGAAATACAGAAAAGTACACGAGAAAAATAGCAGTTACTTACCATCAAGAAAGCCACGGATAATAGTGTAGTATATATAGGCTTATAGAGATTTTCTTTGTGTTTATATAGCACAGACACACACTTTATTCAAAATAGCACATTATAAACTCAGGTGTTTACTCAAGTCGTCACTTTCTCGGGGAAAGGGATCCCCACAAAGACAGGGCAGGTGGAGAGTGCTGATGAGGTTGCTGTAGAGTAGGTCTGCAGGGAATTCCTTCAGGAGAGATGGAGATGTCAAAAGTGAAACAGCTAACGAGGTCATGTGCCAGCTCACTCATGGAACTCGGCCCACTCATTTTTAGATGGTTGACACAAATTTGATGGCCCCTCAAGTTTCTGTCCAACTCTAAAATGCTGTGACTTAAAATTTCCCCCTCTAGTCTACAGCCCCATGTCACCTGATGCTGTCATGGTACTGAGTTGTTTAAATAAGGAGCATGTTAGCCAATGTGGTTGCTGGGATGGAATACTATAGAGTGAGGGCTTGGAGGGCTTAAGCAGATTTACTTACCACCAGTCTAGAGTCTTGGAATTCCAAGATCAAAGTGCAGTTTTTGTGTCTCAGGAGAGCTCTCTTCCTGGTATGCAGATACCCATCTTCTTACTTATCCTCACACAGGAGGGAGGGAGGGAGGGAGAGAGAGAGAGAGACAGAGACAGAGACAGAGACAATGAGAAAGAGAGATCATCTCATTTATGAAGGCTTTACTCTCATTACGTAATTAGCCCCCCTTGAAAAGCCCTACCTCCATTACACTGGTATTTGAGAGACACAAAATTTAGTCTATGTCTAGGGAGAATTTCTTGGTTTAACTTTCACAAGAAGAGATTGCAAGGGTTCCTATGTAGCCAGGATAGGAGTGCTATGGTTGTTTCCATCTAGAAGGCAAAATATTGAAAGACTGTTCCATCTGCTCAGCTGGACACTAAACTGAGCTCTGTGTTCTCTCATTGTCTTCATATGTTTAGGGGTTTCTGAAACAGGTAACCTTCAGGAGGCAAAGTTTAGGGTGGCACTGCAGTCTAGAAACTGTATCCCAGGGAATAGTTTAAAAAAAAAATCCTTCCCCTGCTGGTCCTCAGATCTCCACTGAAGCATCATCTCCTTAAGTAGGAGAGATGAGAAAACAGTTGTCCCTACAGCTGGAGGTTGGATGAGGTGTTTGGGCAACCCTGGCAGGTAGATATTAGTCCTGCAGATTGGTGACAGGGAGGCTGATTTCAAATGCCCTGCTTGTCACTGTCATGAATTTTCATTCCTCCCCTTTGGTAGCAGTTTCTACCATCACAGGGTGAATGTTTTACCAGCCAGGGCTGTCTGTGCTCAGGTAATGGGCCTCCTGGAGAAGAAGTGGGCTGTACTGGGGATGTATAAGCAGAGGCTACAGGGCTGCAGGTATCAGGCAAGAGGAAAGAAATTTCTGTCCTGGAGAGTGTAGTAATGATGAGGATTCCTTCTTTCTCTAATAGAGTAGAGCCTTGGTATTTGTTGGTACCTTGGTATTTTTCAAGCCCAAAATCAGTTTATTTAAATGATGCTCCTATAAGCAACACACTCCTATGCCCAGTGATGGGTGTACCCATCTGTTCTCACCACACTTCCGAGGCTCCTGAGCATGAAAATAAAGATGATATTTCCTTGCCTTCCAGCTGATATTATGCACATGAATCAGCTGCTAGTGCTGTATCATCTGCTGGCTTTTCACATGGGTACAGAGGCCTTTTCCCCTGAGGAGTTCTTGTGTTGACCAAGAGCAGCCTTGCTGTGGGGATACTCAGCAGCTTCCCACCACTCAGATGGGTCCATCAGGAGTCAGTCCACGCTTTCCCCAGTCCAAGGCCCTCCTCCCTCATGTTTGATTTTCCATGATGGACACTAGCCCTGCTTTTAAATTTCATAAGAACCACATAGAAGAATGTCCCTAGGGGCAGATGTCCTGCCGTGAGGGCATTGGGAAAACAGAGCTGGCTGCTTGGGTAGCCCCAGAATGTGAGTGAGCTTAGCTGGTCACTGTCTACAGTAGATTCCAGGTCCAGATGGTTGGGTTTCCCTCACCTCCCCAAGGCTGGGCTACATCTGTGTGTATGAGTGGTGCCCCTCTGAGTAGAGTGCACTCCTCAAGACACTTGGGCCACTATTTGCCGACATTGGCTGAGGTCACTCAAGCATCCAGAGAGCCAGGCCTCGTGCTGGGCCAGGAAAGTGGCTAATGAGTCTCTAATTACAGGCCCGATGTCAAAGCTTACATCTATGCCAGGGCTCAATTTGTACTCAGTCCTCATCTGAGACAGAGTAGCCTCTTACCCAAGGGTGGCATCCTACCTCCCCCAGTCCTCTGAGCTCCCTGCCATTCTTTCTTCCTCCCTCTTCCTAAAACTCCCACTTCCTTTCTGAGGACAGGACTGGCCCAGGCCTCTTATCACACCCTGGTCTCCTGTCTCTCTCAGCACCACCTCATCCACATGCCTTATCTCACATGCCCCATCTTGAGCTGATGGGACAAGAGTCCATGGTTGGCTTGCAATTGACACGCACTGGTCCTGTATCTCTTCAAGGTTAGGACAGACCCTTCTTTCCTTTGAGTGCCTCCAGCAGGATTCCTGCAGTGTCTGTGATAAGCTCCTTAAATATAGTGATCCAGATGAGTCTCTCCATTCAGATTGGCCAGGGGGTCAAATGTCAAGTGATAGGACTATCTCAAGGAAAGTGATAGAACTGCAACAGTCAATCCCAGTCTCCATCTCCCTGCCGACGGCTGTAATTTCCCAAGTCACCTTGCAATTCCCTCAACCCCAATCTGGGAACACTTGGTAGCATCCAGTTCCCTCCTCTGCTCTGGAGAACTCATGATTCAACATGAAGGTTGTGGGCTCTGACAACACGCAGTGTCAGCTCAGAGGAAATGGTGCAGCAAGAGTTCAGGCAACCAGGAAGCTTGCCAGAGGAGGTGGGATTGGACCCAGCAGGATGATCCTGACTTGACTAGGCAGAGAGGTGGGCCTGGTAGATGGGATCCAGCTCATTAGCAGGGTCTCACCATCACCTGGGGGAGAGAGGCAAGTGCTCTTCTATCTATATCACAACTTAGCTGTTCTGTGTCCTCTCCAACCAGGGATGCCTCAGACTCTTCAGGGTAAGGGTCTGATGGGTTAACTAAGCCCCAATGATGCCAGATGGCTACATGATGGACTCCAACCAGGAAAGCAAATAATACAAGTATGTTCTCCATCTTGGTGCCATTGCAGGCCCATTGTGCCTGCTGGAGCCTATAAACTCACACCATTTAGAAGGTGCCCACCTGTCAGGATGGGGCCCGCCTAAGCTGAGTTCCTTGTGGAGAATAAGAAAGCAGGTCAGGGTGATGGGAAGAGCTGTGTTGAGCTGGATGCCAGGACCTAGTGTTCCTACCTCACTGGGTTGTGACTTTGAGCCACCCTTATCTTCCACCCTGCCCCGTGACAGGTGCTCTTGCTCTGTCCTGCAAAATGAGTGGTTTGGCCTGGCTTTTTTCAGTCCCTTTCCTGCTGTGGTATTTTGTAACTCCATGTGGGTCTCAGCCCAGGTTCTGCCAAGGAGCCATGAGAGCAAAGAGTCCAGGGCAGCAATTAACAGAGGGATTGTGTGTGCTGTGATTTAGCAAGATGATGCCAGTTGCCAAGTGTAGCAACTTGCATAATGAGTTTCTTGTTTTATTAAGAGGTGTGATTCTCTTTAGCCAAGTCAAAATGCCAGATGGGCCCTGAACTTTGAAAGATCCAAAGAGATTAATATGAATGAGGAAAGGGCAGGCGCGGGTGGCTTTGGAGGATGGTGGCATTCAGCAGACCACATGTAGGTGTGAAGCCCAATTCAACTTTGGAAGTTAGCCCCTACAGCTGCACCCCTTCATCTATGATATGATTACATATATTGGCTCAAGCTTGGCTTTTCTCACCCCAACAAGCAAACCTATCTGCTGGGAAATCCCCTCTTACAGAAAAAAGCCAGTTGGCATCAGGAAAAATCTTGACCTGCCAAGTGATCTTCACTCAGTGAAAGTGATCAGAATGAGCCAGATGACAGGCCAACAGTATGTTCCCAGTGGAAAAAGGAAGGATCTAGTAGACTTTGGCTTGGAGGTCTGGGTGCTTCTGACAGCAAGGCCAAGGGCACAGCTGTATGTGGGACTAGAGTCTGTATCCCATGGTTCTGATCCATGCATGATTGTCTCTGGGCTCAGGAAAGCCATCTGTCTGTGATTCACCTCCTGTGCTATGGAACTCAGCTGGGTATCAGAGACTCTAGTTCTCCCAGCTCTCCTCTGCTCTCTGAATCTCAGTTTCTACAGAGTTGGGATCCTTACCACCACCCTTACTTATGACACTAACTGTTCCTTAATTGATGGAAAGACTCATGGAACTCAGAAAAGCCTTCACACCAATGGTTATTATTTATTACAGCACAAGGATACAGATCAGAGATAGCAGAGGGCAGGGGCATACAGGGCAGAGCCTGGTAAAGGGCAGAGCCTGGTAAAGGGCCAAGCACAGAGCTTCTAGTCACCCCTCCAAAGGAGTTTTGCAGGCAGCACTTGCTCGTCCCAGCAATGGTGCGTGACAACATAGTAGTCTGTGATTATTCATGCTTTCAGTTTCCATAGCTTCAGTTACCAGAAATCAACAGCAGCCTAAAAATAATAAAATGGAGAAATCCAGAAATAAACTACTCATAAGTTTTCAATTGTGTGTCATTTCAGCAGCATGATAAAAATCTCATACCATCCTTTTCCATCCTACCCAAGATGTGAATCATCCCTTTGTCCCTTTGTTCAGCATATCTACACTGTATATACTACCCACTGGTCTTATAGCTGGCTCAGTCAACAGATCAACTGGCAGTTTTGTAGTGCTTATACATAATGTTTGGTACTATCTAGTTTCAAGCATCCCCTGGGAGTATTAGAATGTAACCCCATGGATAAGGGGGTTCTTCAGTACACATGGTTGTGCTGCCAGTCAGGAAAGCTCACCTGAGCTTCGGTATTCAAGGATTGTATAGAGGGTCAGCTGACTGCCCACATCACTCACCTTAATCTCTGGCCCCTTCAGAGTTCAAGCTAGCACTACAAGGTCCATGTATCCTATCATAAATTACATTATTATAGATTATGTGTCATGGCCCAAAGCCTGGAGGTTAACAAAGGTGCTTTATTAGGTATCACATTTCAAGGACTTAGCAGTCATCACCCAGGAGCTGCGGGGCAAAGGCCAGACCTCTCCTTGGACAAAGTAGGGCTGGATGAGTTGGTCCAGCCTTCCTGTCTCAGGCACTAGAATCTGGATTCTGCCTGTTGGACATGGAAAACAGTGTTCTAGCAGAAGCAGTGAGGAATTGTGTTAGGTTTCTATTCCGGTACATCCCTGTCACTTGTAGAATTGTTTGATTTGTTCTCTCCGGAGGATCGTAGCTGGAAGGCTCTTTAAAACATTAGCTTTAATTTCCTTTTCTGCTCTCCTACTCTTTGATTCCAAACTCCTGGGTGGTCTACTGCAGAAAACCCCACAGTGGCAGAGAAAGCTTCTCCTTGCACTTCTGAACACCTTTCATCCTCAATGTTCAGGAGAGTTGAGGAGAGAAAGCACAGCCAAGCGGCAGCTGTTCAAACGGTTCTGCTTCCTGCAGTCTGAGATCTGGGTGAAAGTGCCCGTGGAAGAATGTCACACACCAAGGTAGTGAAATCACTTCACATTGTCATCCTAAGAGTCCAGGGTCCCATTGGAATGGAATTCAAACACAAGCCTTCCCAGAATGCTTTGGTTAGATTCCTAGAAACCTAAGAAGAAATCTGCCATATGGCTGTTGCCTTGTTTGCCTTACAGCTGCAGGGAGACAGCCTGACCCAAAATCTTCCACAGGGTTCCAGAGACAACACCACCAACCCCACCCTGCATGTTGCCAGGTAGTGCTGGAAACCAGCATCACTTCACTTTGCAGGTAGAGATGCAACTCTCAGGCCTTGGAAGCGGGGATTGCTGACTGAGTGCAGTCGTCATTTGCTGTAGGGCAAATGATTCTAGGCACCTTGGTCTACACGCCCCCTACGCTGCTTTAATCAGGCCAGATATATCTGTCTTTTCCCTTGCCAGCCCTGAGCTGAGCACTTCCAAGAATGAACAACTGTCCTCAATCTCAGACTGCCCCAAAAAGCTAACACCAAGTCCTCTTCAGGACCAAGCCTTAAGGGGAGGGCTCTGAATCACAGAAGTGCCTTTTCCTTCTGATATTGTTTGACTTCAGTGTTTCAATAGAGGTCCAAGTGTAGGTGTATTGTTGAACAGTGTTAGAATGCCTTGCACCGAGCAGTTAAGCAAGGGAAAGCTGTGGGAATTTCTTTGGAGGAAGAGTTTTGAAGCCAGCCTTGTTTAAGTAGGCTGAAGTTCAAAACTTGAGTCTTGAAAATGGTTGTACTGTTATAAGTTATGATGCTGCCTTGTCTATGTGTAAGAAACTTCTAGATTAGTCACTTGCTGTTCCTTTGACTGAATAACTGCAGTGAGTCCAAATTCTACATGCTGGGCTTCACCTGGCACGTTGTGTTGCTATAGCATATACCATGAGCCTTCTAAAACAAAGGTGAAAAAAACAAGACATAGGGAAGGGGCAGAACTAGACAAGTATGATAAATGATAAAGATTATGGAAAAAGTGAAGAGGGCAAGGTTTCCATGGGGAGGGTAGCCTGGGACATCCCACGAGAAAATGACATTTGAGCCTGATCTGAGTGTTAAAGAGGAGAAAGGCATGCCAAAATCTGGGGAAGGAGCAATCCAAGCCAAGGCTTAGCATGTGCAAAGGCCCTGGGTCTGGAAGGAACTTGGCCTGTTCACAGTGACACACAAAGACCACTGCAATGGAAGTGATGTGGAGGTGATGAGAGATGAGGTTGGGAAGGAGCCTGGGCACATGGGGCTGACTAAGCCATGTTAGGAAGTCTGGGATGCCAGTTTAGACTGAGGAGCGCCCTGTCTGCATGGCATGGAAGAGGACAGAGGCCTAAACCCCAACCCTTTGTTGGTCCCATGGAACTCTGGGGATTCGGAGCCTTGCAGCCTACAGGGTGCTGAGGCTGAAGGGAGATTTCATACCCATAGCCCCAGTTTGGCCTTTTCAGCATTTGGTGCTGATTAACTGGCCATTCTCCCTCTTCAGCACATGTTGCAGACACTCTGTTCAGGAGGAAGTTGAAATGGCCAGCTCCTCTAATAACAGAATATTGAAAAGGTCACAGCAGTACAGCTGAGTTCTCCCACCTACAAACCACAGGGAGCGGCCGCTCGGATAACTCATTCTCCTGACAAATCAAGGAACAGGGCCTGAAGACTGCACAGCTGATTAGACTCATCGGAAATCAGAGATCCAGGGAGAAATCGATGGAGAACATAGCTGCCCCACTCGGAGGGGTCAGGGCAGAAGGGATGCTGATTAGCGGATCTGCGGGGAGGAGAGGTAGGGGGTGAGCATGCTGCCCCCTTGTGGCCACTGGCACAGTTTGCAGCACCCAAAAGGCCACAGAGAGAAGCCTGAAACCTGTTTGACCTCAAGCAGGGAGGCAATGCCTTTGTGGTCCCCACCAAGGCAGAGTTTGCCTATCTTTTGCATTTTGTCACAGAAGTATGGAAAAGTGCCTTCCACCGAATCTTGGCTAAATATAAAACATTCACCATTAAAATCTCCAAAATTTTCTTTCCAGATATTTTTGTGTTCTTTTTCACAAGGATTGTTTTTTTTTTTGAAATTAGCTTTTACCATGACCAGTCTTTGGAAAAAGAGTGAGCAAGAATGTTCAAAACTCAGAAATCCTCATAAAACAAGGACAGGTTTATGGCTTAATTTACCATGGAGTTCCACAAACAACATTAAAGAAAAATGACTGATTCAATTAAAGACTGGACAATTAACCTTCTGCATTCAAAAACAGGGGACTGTTTTAGTCCTTGTCTGCATGCCACAGCAGCAGGGAATCCTGACGGGCCAGTGAAGCTGGACTGAGTGGGAAACTCACCTTCGAAAGAAGCCTGAGAAGATTAAGAGAGCAATGAGCATCCAAAAATGACCATGATTAAGCCACAATAAAGACTGCCAGCAACTGGAAAGGAGAAACAGAATATGTTTTTAAAACCATAGGCACAGAGATTTCTGCAGGCTTTGGAGATAAGGAGACTGACATTTTGAGAATGGTTGATTAAAAGCTTTTCGGCCCAAATTCTTATTTTCAGTGGGGGTTGAGTACAAAAATCCATGGAGCAAATTGAAATTCTAAATGCTAAGAGAAGACTAAAAGATTTACTGCCACAGATTCAATTAAGTGACAAAAAAAATGTGCCATCTCCTTCAGGATTCATTTTAGGCGCCTGCCTCATAACTGCACAATTTCCCAAATGCTGTCTGCTAATGGGATGATTTCTACAGGGGGACGGGCAGTGTGGGGGTGTGGAGTCTTGATCATGGGACCTTAACTCAGGGTTCAGCAGCCACTAACTGAGGTTCCTGCCACAGGGCAACCCCTGCTGATTCGCCCCTTGTTGTCATCTCAGCTGGGGGGATTGAATTTCTACTGGGAGAGCACTTGGTATCCCTCAGAGGTTCCAGGCCTCAAGACTGCCCCTGCCCACCCCACAACTGCCTTCAGGCCTAATGCAGTGATTCACACCTGAAATCCCAACTACTCAGGAAGTAGATCTCAGTTCAAGGCCAGCCTGGGCAAAAAAAAAAAAAAAGTAGCAAGACCCCATCTCAACAAACAAGCCAGGCATGACAGCACTCACTTGTGATCCCAGCTATTCAGGAGGCCATCCTCATGGGAGGATCTCTGTCTGAGGCTGGCTCCAGGCAAAAACTTGAGCCCCTACCTGCAAAATAACTAAAGCAAAAAAGGGCTGGGGGGGGTAACTTAAGTGGTAGAGTATGGGCCCGGCAAGTGTAAGGCCCTAAGTTCAAACTCCCATCCTGACTTCAGAGATGACCAGCGACCTATAGACTTGAACTCTAAGAGACAGAGTGAGCTCAAAATGCACTTCGTAGTGCTGGGGCTGAAACCCAGAGCCTCATGCATGGTAGGTAGGTGCTCTACCACTGAGCTGCATCCCCAGGCCTGAAAAGTACTTTCTAAACATGTCCCTTGTAGAGCAGTAATGGACACTGGTGACCTCCACGGGCACTGTGGCTTCTGTGTCTCGAGTTGCTGATGCTGCAGTGTTGTGTGTCTCCTGTGGTCACTAAGCCAGGCTGCCCGGTTCAGTAGGAAGGGGCTTATTTAAATAAAGATCTGTCCCCAATGGCACATTTAAGGGCCCGGGAAGGAAGGCTGGTGAGTGCTTGAAAAGCACCACATCCATGAATCACCCAGTCTGGAGAGGCATTCACACTGTTGAGAGGCCCACACAAGCTGTTAAGACCACAGAATATGCAGGCCTTGGGAAGCTTTCATTTTAGGCAGCTTTTGTGTGAAATTGCAGCTGGACTGAGGTAAAGCTCAGTTCTGGTGTCTACCAACCCTCCAGCTCTGAGGTGCCAACCCCACATTCCATGTTACATTCCAGTTACACCCCAGCTGTCTTGCCAAAAGCTCGGGGACAGCCTTGCTTGGCCTCCCACAGATGCCAAGTGTTCTTGTTTTAAAAGAAACAGGTGAAATGAAACATCATCTGTTATAAAAACAAGGAATTCAGGGTAGGGCACTGCAGGCTCTCACAGCAGGGAAGACTCCCTCGAGGTGGCTAAGCCTGGGGCTGGGGCGGTGGGAGTGGAGGGGTGGGGGGGGACACGACAGGTGGAAGAAGGAAATCAGCAAGGGTGGGAAATCCAGGGCTTCTGGAGGAAAGCAAGATTGAAGGGGGCTGAAATGCATGATGCCACTGCCTTGTATACCCCAGAGGACAAGCAGGGCTGGAGCTCCCATCCTGCATCCCACCCTACCTGTGGAAACAAGGACACTTGACCCCTGTGCCTGCCTTCCCTTAACCATGGTGCTTAATCACAAGGTTATTTACACACCTGGTTTATTTGTTTTCTCTGTGGAACATCCAGGTCATTTGGAAAGAGAAAAGAATAAAAATTTTTTCCTTAAAAATGACAGAGCAGACCTAAAACCAAGAAATGGAAATAAAAAAAGAACAAGTTAGAACAGAGGAAAATCAATAAAACAGATGAGGTTTAAAATAAGAGGTTTAAAAAGCTGACAGATACAGGAGACAGGCAAAAAAAAGAGAAGACTAGAAGTTAAATCCCAGATATTAAACGTGAGATAAAATAGAAAAGAAAGGAATAAAAATGGAATGAATTTTAAAATTAAGTATAAAAAAGGACATAGGTTAAAAGTATAGAAATTAGTGAAGCTAAAATAAAAGCATGGGATAATGGGTTTGCAATATAAAGTAACTAGGGTTTAAAAAAAATAGCTGTTGAGAAAAAAGAAGGAAGATGGAAGTTTCCAGGTGGGAGAGTACAGGAAGAAGATCCTGGAATGTGGCCCCAGGTGCCAGATGCCACAACTGTTCACAACCTTCTCTTGTCTTCTTTTGCCTACTCTAGAGAGGCAGTGTTTTTCACTTTCCATTAGAGAGAGCTGCCTTTCCTTTATGCACAAACACATGGACAGTAAGCTCCTGGGATCTACCTCAAAGCTGCTCAGGCAATGGGTGTTGGGTGGGGGAAGGAGAGCTAGTAAACCAGTGAACAAGCTCCCTTTGCCCTCTTTTGGGAGCCATGCCTGGGATCACAGCCAAATCTTCAAGCGCTAGTTCTCAACTCTTTCAGATGGAGTGCCCACTTTTTAGAACAAATATTTCATAATCCCCCTTTATTGCTCTGAAAGGAAAACTAGCTAACATGTACTTACACATATAATTTCAAAAGATGGTGTACTAATTGATACATACGTGAAAAAAAAAAGAAAGTAATTTGTGGTAAAATACTGCCTATTTCAATACATAGACGCTCCTGCAAGGCCACAACAGAATTCATAATGAAGTAGCCAGATGCTGGCATGAAAGTGTCTTCTACAAAGGCAGCTGACACAGGTGTACTGAATAAAGACCACATGCTGTGTTGCCATTGGCAACAAGACAATGGTAAACAACTTTTGCTAAAGTTCTGAACAAAGCAGCATATACTCTTCTCTTCCTTTTTCTGCTAGTTGTAGCCCAGGAAAACTCCAAGTATATTAATCTAAGTAGGAAATACTTTGTGTTTATATATAATCAGTTAGGGTCCAGGCTCCAATAATTATGTTTTCACCTACATGCATATCCACTGGGACATTTAAAAAAATGGGGACATATGGCAACTCACTGTTCTGAGGGACTATCCTATGCAATGCAGAATATCTGCCACCTGTGATTTTTCCCTCTCAATAATAAAAAGTGATCCCTCCCAGTCACTATGACTATAGAACATGCCCTAGTACTTTCCAGAAAAACTACCAAGAAGTTCTTCCCCACTTAGAACGACTGACTCAGAGGGAGAACTTGAACACAACTCTGTGGATCAACTCATGGCTACCAGGTCATACCAGTTTGGGGGTAAAAGAAGATGTTTAGGAGCGAGAAACCCTGCACAAGAGGCCTGTGAGTTTTGGTCAAGGCATGCTGTTAGACATTCTAGGGAGACTGGTAGATTCTTGGCCAGAGACAAGGAATATTCCTCATGGAGATGGAAGACAGAAGCCTGCCTGCAAAAAAGAAAAAGGAGCTCAGGAGGATTGGAAGGCCCCAGGAGCCTGTTGCTGCTATTGCAGAAGGACTGCAGACAAGAGAAGAGGGTACTACTCAGTGAGAGCAAGCAAATAACATCAAGAATTACTGTGTCAACCGTAAAATCTCAAGATGGCATACAAAGAGTCAGAGGTGAGAGGCTCACACTTCCAGAATGGGAAAGCTCCCCCCCACCCCCCAAAGAAGTCCACAACTGGGGAGTGGGAATGTAACCCCTCCTCAGAAGTTTATTAGCACAATAAAAGGTCAGCAGTCATGATGCAGACTCATTCTCACATTGCAAGGGCTCAGGAAAAGTCAATCCAATGTTCCTCTTACTCTGGGTCATTTAACTCATTTCTAAAATTGGTTTTTTGCACAAAGCAGAGTTTCAAGGTTTATAAACTCCAAGGAGAGATAAAAGCTCATATTCAATTGTGTTATTGTTATTGAACAGTTTTATTCACAAAGATTTAATTCCCCAAGTTTTGCTTTAGGAAAAAAAAAAATGCCACCGAAGGTAAGATGGCAATTAAACTCCCTGTGTTAGGGAGCATTACTCACCATGGTAATTGGGAAACATGGCAGAGAATGGGATGTGCCATCTTGGGAGTGATGAAGAGCCTTTTCAATTACTCTGAAACTTTATTTATTATTTTTGAAGGGTAATGCATTGCTGCTTTTAACTGCCTGAAATTAAAGTGGATGTTGAAAACATTGCCTCTTCCTTGAGCTTATTTTTATTTTTACTGAGCATAATTGGATGATGTAAGGAGAAGCTTACTTTCTAAAAAGGTCATCTCTTATTTCCCTGAGACTGTAATCACATCACTAGGATTTTTGGGATTGGGATTTTATTGCCTTATGTCGTATCCTTTTCCAGCTTATCAAATTTAGTAAACTTAAAGACTGTTCAAAAATAAGGAAACCTGGTTTGTTGCAAAAAAAAAAAAAAAAGGTTTTATTGCCTGAAAAACTCTGAGAGACCCCAATTTATGCTTTTAAATTTGAGATTTGATGAATAAGAATATTTTTAGATCTAGATTCTGAAAAATGATCACTGGATCAAAACACTTTTTCCTGTATTAAGGTCAGATCCTGAGGCTGGCTTTGAATTAACAAGGGATCCTTTCTTCTTCCTCATAAAACAGACTTGAGAAGGTCAGGGAACTGCTAGGTGCTGGCATGTGGGACAAACACAGGAAAGAAGAGAGAGAGAGGGAGGGAGGGAGGGAAGAAGGAAGGAGGGAACTGCTTCTGAGGTCAAAAAGCAGAGCTTGGGGCCTTCAAGGCAGCCTGGACCTTGGAACACCAGCTCCCCAGTGGGCTGGGGCCATTTTGAATCTAAATCCCAGCAGCATCAGGGTCGGGGAGAGTTCTTTGCATATCTGTCCTG